ACAGCGGAGGAATGATAGTGTGCAAGCAGAAAACAAAAGACAAACAACAGGATTCTATGTAACGGTTGGTGACAGATGTATTATCATGCTTTGTTGGGTTTCTAAAGGGATATCATTTTTTTCATTTTTTTCTAATTTTTTTCCTCTTTTTAAAAGATATTTCTAGAAGCCGCTACTGAGATTGCTGGAATGTCTTAGGAATCCATTCTACATTATAGACGAGTAGACTGGAAAGCGGAAGCAACAACTACTGTTTGGCACATCCAGGGTTTTTTCTACCACTTTACTATCACACTGACAAGAAAGACACACTCAACAAAACAAGAAACACAACAACAAAGCATTCTGAAAATAGCACTTGTCCTACCATTTTTATGTTTCTCCCCTAATCGTACAAACAACAGCTAATCTAATTATTGCGGGAATATAGTTAAGTGCTACCTGACATCTTTTTCTCTCCCTTGCTCTCTTTCATGAGTTTGTTAACCAAAACGTGTTACAAAAATAGAAGCTTTACTACCAGACAAGGCTTTGAATATTCACTTTCCCTTCACTGTTCCTTCTATGTCCTGTTGTGGCATTGCTGGGCTGAGGCTGCGGTGAGAAGGCAGATAAAGCAAAAAATTTGACAGAGGCTCACGAGTGTGCTTTTAGCTTAGACCTCATATCAGCAAGGCTGTTAACTTGCTTGCTGTAGCTTTACCTTCCACTAGATGGAACAATTGGATTACAGTCTGTGTGTGTTCTTCCTATTCCAACCACAAGGATGATTTGTAAGATAGATAAAGTCTGTTTTTTTCTGTTTCCTTTAGGCCTTCTTTACATAATACGTGAGGTTTTTCACAGTAACATTAGTACCAAATATGTAGATGAAAGTATATGAAAAAAACATGAACGTTAGTGCATTGCAAATGTTTCACCGTTTTCTATAATAATAGCGTTTTCCTGTATTCTGGTATTTTAAAAACAGTTTAAACAACTGCTGCTCCATCCAGGTTGGTTCATAACAAACAAGAAGAATGCCATGAGACCGCACATCACTTCAAAGTTTGCTGGCTGTTAATGTATGTGTGCTATCCTCGCTAAAAGGAATATCAGAGCTACATTTTGACAAGTGTCATGCAGGCAGTTGTTTTAGCTGAGAGAGCTTCTCTAACCTGCCTTCTTACCCATGCCTCTTTGTTCACCAACTAGCAGCCACGCCAGCCACCCTAACAGACAGCCCTTAACACTTCCAGACCAGTATCATCTGCAGCTCCCAGGACTAGCCTCTGTGACCATGGTTCAACTTGTATTTCTTGTGCACATGCAACACATCACTAGGTAAATATACAAGTCTTAAATTAAAGAAAGGTGGAAATAAAAGTGCCTTATCAATTCAACAATTAAGAATGGTCTAACTACTAATATCATACATGTTATTTAAAATAGATTCTATAAACATTACTTTTTTCTGTATAGTAAGTACTTATGACCATATACCCTGTAGTACATTATAAAACAGGTGGAATGGACCCTTTTCATTGTGTTGGTGCCCTGTGCTTCTCCAGGGCACCTGTCCAGAGAAGGATTAATAGCAGATGGCCTTACATGATTTCACTATGCAACAATGGTGGATGGAGTCTTTGACAGCTAAAATCATTGCGTTTAGAATTACCAGAATTCTTTTTTTTTTTTTTAACGATTGTCCATAGAGAGGTGCCAATTGCATCACCATGCCAACAGACCCTCCCTCAAAGTCGCTGTGAATTTTCATTCCTGGAACTGCGTCCAAAAGATACAACTGAACACAAGAGAGAAAAAAAAGGCTGAACTTGACCAAAATGTGCGCATTTATAAGGTATTTTATTTTGGTTTGGGATATAGTGTATGAAGCAGATTGGGGAAAAAGACTGTTTAAAGGTTTGAATATGAACTATTTTGGGGAGTAAAATCTGAAAGAATACTGATATGAATTTATCTTCTAATTGAAAACATCGCCAGCTATTTTTATTCAAAAAGTGACTCATTATTTGTTTATCTGATTACAAGTCAGATGCACAGATAAATCACAATAATGGCGATGCAATAAATACTGGTGAAAATCAATGACTGTAATGAAGTGAATCATGTGCTCAGTGTCAGAAATACGCAAAAGAGGGTCAAGTTCAACCAGACAGAAATTATTTGTCCCTAGCTCCTCTTCATGTCCCATGGGGTGTTGGGTCCCACAAGCCTTCCAAAGAAAACTAAATTCAATAGAGTAAACCTTGAAAATCAACTCCCTACGCCCTCCCCTCTGACGTAAAAAGAAGAAGTTGAACAGCGTGCCATCTGTCCGCTCTGGTTTGTGCAGGGCACCAATAAAGTGTCTCAGATTCCTCCTCCACATTCCCCTACGGTGGGCACACTAGCACCTGGCAGGGCTGCTACCCGTCAACGGGCATGGACTGCTCAAAGTCTGATCCAAACAGCTCCTTGTATAAGGGGGGGAAGTGGGCACGCACAATGTCTGGGTATATTGCTTTGAAAGCTGTAAGCTTCTCTGTATGCCTACTGCACAGCGCTCGCAGTGTCGACACTTTGCATATCAACTGTGGAGAGAGAGGAGACAGGCTGTTTAGATTCACAGGGAGGCAAGGACATGGAGCAATGGTAGTGAAAAACATTCCTCCCTACAGTGTATTTCCTCTCACACAGGGGCAAACAGACTTGTAGATATTGAGACAAGTGCTAAGGCGCGAGGAAAACTTGACACTTCACATTATGGAGCTGCTACAACTGATAAATTGCCACTTCTCTACCGATAAAAATGCATTTCATGTCACATTATGAATGCTTTCCCTTAAATCTGTGTTGGTTTAATCTAATGCACTAAAAATGGTTGATGGCATGTGGATAAAGATTCTAAACAGTGGGAGATTAAACTGCTACAAGGGTTTGGCATGCTAGCAGACAGCCACTTTAAGGGATAATGGATGGAGTTTGAACTGCATCGCACTGTACCTTTGTAAGTATACCATCCTCTCTGTGGTTCTTCTGCAGGACGTGCTGGAGGGCCAGTTGGATTTTCTGCTGGAGTTTCTCCACCTTCACCTTCTCCTGGAGCCAGGATCGGTCTGGAAGGCAAATCATTGCCACTTTTTGTTACTGTACAAACACACGTATGGGCCTTAACAGTCAACTTGGCTCATGTGGAAAGTAATGATGCAGTGCTACTATGTATAAGATAATAATTGATAGAGAAGGTGGAGGAGGGCAACAGCGGCAGCGTTCCTTGTCGTGGTGAATGCGTGTCTACCTTTTTTTCTCGTTTGCACTGTGAGTGACACCTACCAGCAGACATCAACACAAAGGCGGAGAACAGGGCGATCTCATCCTCAGACAGGTGCATAGAACACAAGTTTTTCCCAAACTCGAAGACGGAGCTGATCAAGTCGTCACAGCCTGCCACAGCAAAGGACATAGAGAGAGGGCTTAGGATGAGGAAGACCAAAGAACAACATTCACTCTTGATCTTTATTGGGAGAGAGGCACACAGGGAGGGAGAGGAAGGGGAAGGAATGAAAAAGAGCGGCATGCTGACAGCACATGGGAGCGTCTTAAGGAGAACAGGCAATGCTTTTACTGAGTTTTGCCTCCCAGACGAGTCACTTTTGGCAGTTGGGTGGTGTTATGCAAGCCAAAATGAGGTCACTATTGAGGCTTTTAGTTAAATCAATTATCGTGGATAGAAAGAGACAGGCGGATGCCACCGCGGCTCGGGAAGCCCATCACTCTGCCTCCCCCCGCTGCCAACCCCTCTGCACAGAACACGCAGGACAGTGGGGCTCTCGAAGCTAGGATAGATACACATTCTCACTCATAAACACATGCAAACAGGGAGTTACAAGGAATGGTAAACTTACACCAAGAAACACAATTCAGCAATTTCACTGTCACTATGGGACACATTTACTTTTTTTGGTCAAAAAGCAGTTGGAAATGCAAGAAAATCCATGGTGGAGAGTCTTCCTAATGTCATGGCAGTCAAACATAAATGCAGACAAACACAAATGCTATTTGCTTTCGCCTGAGATGTTTTATATCAGTATATCAGTGATGGCTTTGATAGCGCTCTCCCTAAAGACACTACGTCTGGCTTTATTTATTCCACAGTTACAGGAGCCATATGCAGCAGAGCCGCACTAACATCTCTGTTCTACCACAAATAACCGTTGCAGAGACAGCAATGCCAGGTGAGGCAGGGATGAGTGCTCAGTGTTTGCTTCCAGGCCTTCAGCATTGTGTAGAACAGAACAGCTGACTCTAATTTTGGCTATTATACCAAGGGAAGGAGTAAGACACTGTAAGAAACACACACAAACACAGCAGCATGCAAGTACACACATGCACACTCATTCAAACGTGCACTGCTCAGAAATACCCTACACATGCACACACCCACCCACACACATAACACCCACTCCACTTACCTAATGACTTGAACACATCAGGTCCGGCATACTTGCCATCAAAATAAACTGTGTTGTTTTGCGAGTCAAAGGCACGGCACATTCTGACAAACACAACTTCCAAAGAGCCTGTGGAGACAGACAGGAACAAGATGCAGAATCTGAGCTTTGTTTCTTGTTTTTCCCTAACAGTTACACATCAGTAAGGGATGCAAAACACATGATTGTGCTTTGTGCTATTCTTCTACAGCATGAATAACACAACCACTTTGAAATAAAGAAGCCTGCCGTCAGAGGAAAAAAAAACTCCACCTCTGCAGATAATAATATCATAGACAGAAGGCTATTCTTCCATAATGACATGCCAGATAAAAATTGCGCTTCATTCAGTAGTGACAGTGCTTATTCATTCAACCTTTATTTAGTAAGATAGGTAGGAAATTTATTCTATCCTGCAATTTGTACCACTCAGTGGGAGTGAATAAGAGGATCAAGAAAATGTAACAGAAGCCATTACTGCCTCTAAGGGAGATTCGACTGTTTTAGAATGCCATGTCTGACAAGGGATCTCAGTCTTTATTTCATTATTCATATTGGCTGTGCCAATGTAAATAATAGTCAAGGAAAGACCCAGGAGAGGTGTTTGTTTGCTGCATGAGTGGTTTGTTTGTATCTGTGTGAACATTTATATTTATGCATAAACATAGGTGACAGTGTGCAGGGAGCCATAGCTGCATTTAATATTGTGGAAGTAAGTCTTTATGAGAACAGTTGGAATTAGCAGACATCGCAGGTGTCCGGTAAAAAGAGAGCGAAATGGCAGCCATCATGATGAGTATTATCTGAGCTCAGGAACACATTGCTTATCTAATGCTGTGTCCATCCCTGCTATGTATTTAATGAACGGAGGGAAAATAGAGAGCAACCGAGACAGAGAGAGGAAACAGGCAGGGTAGGGTCCCTTCTCTGTGACACTGTCTGTGCATGTGAAGAAGAGGGCTTTGTGTAGTCAGGTCAGCTACGCCCTTGTGACAATGCCAGGGGGGGTGGTGGTGGTGGTGGTGAATTTGACGGCAGCAGGCCATGTTGACAGGCTGTCATACCTGCTTTCAGCAGCACTATCTGATCGTTCTGACACAGCTCCATGAAGCCGTCGATGCGCTTGGCAAACTCCACCACATACTGAATGGCCTCTGTTATTTTGATAGCACACAGCTGCCACATGACTTCCCGGGGCTAAGAACAGATAGGACAAAGAATGGGTTATCTACTTTAAAACAATGGATTTGATTACTGTAACTGCTGTGGTGGCCAGAACAGGCCCGGTCGTGGTTGTTGTCTAGCTACCTTGCTCTGGTAGTTCTCCACCTCTTCCTGCAGGAAGGCCTGCCAGGTCATCTGCTGCAGCTCCTCCCTCAGGTACTGACATGTCTCCATGTGTGACTTGGAGATATTCTGGGCCAGGTGCTCTGCAATTACAACCATCGTCACAAACCCAGAAGATCACAGTTGAGATCTGAATGTTATTCACAAGGCTGTGTGAAAGGGAAGACCTCACTGATGAAATATGCCACAGGAAAAGATGATTTATTTACTGAGCTTTCAAAGAGGAGAGGCGGATACGCGTGGGCTTTTTTTTGACTGGGAAAAGGCTTGTTGACATTTCCTCTTACTGCCTGCAGGAAGCTCATAACTTAAGGTTGAGGCAAAGCCAATCTAGTTATGACACAAATGCATGGAGAGGAGGAGGGGCGCCACGTTACTCACTGAAACAAAGGTCACATTTTCTCTGAGAGAAATATTGAGTATAAGAATTTAAATGGTTTTGAAAACACATCTGTTAAAAGGAGTTCCTAGGCACAGGGGAGCCTAAAAAAATGATTTCCCCAGACACCTGCCCTGCTGGATCCTGATTGGCCCTAATTAATGGAAACTAATTACAAAAAAGAGGCTCTTTTAATGAGTGTTGGAGATGAGTCTCCAACCTCCTGCTATTTTAAGCAACCTTTGTGTCGTTTGCCCCACGGTTGAGTTGTTCTCCCCCCTCCTCCATTTTGCTGTCTTTCCTCTTGTCTCCCCCTGCCTCTCTCCTGCTCCTTACCTAGTTCAGCCATGGACACGGTGGGGGAGGTGTCTCCATTGGTGAAGGAGCAGTAAGGGAAGAAGCCAGAGCCAGGGGCAAAGTCGCAGATGGGCTCCGGCTTGATGCCGTTGATGTCCAGGCCTGACTGGTCAGGAGATGGCTGGATGTCCAGGTAGAAGCTGCTGACTGCCGAGTCTGGTTTGCTGCCATCAGGGGTGTGACCATCCATGTAGCCGCTGAGGTCGTCATGGAGCTCTGTGAGGCCATTGGCTGAGAGGCCATAGCTAGGTGTGAGCGGCTCCGCCTCTCCAGGCTGCTGTTGGTGGTCACGCTGCTGCTGCTGCAGCCGGTGCTTCTGGACCTCAGCATACAGGCTGTCTCGCTGCTTCTTCGACATGCGGCCAAACTTCACCGCTGTGATTAGCAGGACAAAAGATATGTGAGATTCTAGTGAAACATCACAAACAAATTTTACTGAATTGCTAGTTTATGTTTGTTTTCTATATGTGGCACCTGAAGGTGTCTCTTCATAAGTTAAATAAGTTCCAGAAATATGTGATAATAACTCAGAATAATATGAAGTTAATGGGTGGATATTCAACTGCTTAAGAAATTATACATCCTTTCAAATGTGATTTCAATTTTACTGAGTCATTTTGTTAATTATATTGGTGAGTCCTAACATTTTACTCTCCAATAAGTAAAATAATCTTACCAGTGGGGTGGACTGCCAACACAAATAGACTTATTTCAATAAGAACCAAGTGCTATTTCAAAAATTTTAATATAGCAGTCTCGCTTACCCAGTCTTGTCTCAAGATACATGTCTAGAAAATGCCTGAAACAGTGGAATTGCTCAGGGAACAAGCTGAATTGATAAATTTGTGCTTCTTTGAAGAAAAACTAAATCTTGGCATTGGAGTCTGAGACAAAATGACTTGTTTAGACAACAAGGAAAATTATTATACATTAATTCCCTACTTGCTATAAATTGTATACAACATTCTTTGGTCATTTGTCAATTTGTGCCCTCCCTGACAACACAGTAACACACCTCTAATCTATGTTAAAGTCATTTGTTCCTATTAGACCAAACGACACCTGCAACTAGCATCATCCTCCATTCTCCACTAGACTGAGGTACAGTACAGTATACTTAGATAACACTGAGTAAAAAAAAAAGCAAATCTCCAAATTTTGGGAGGGATCAGTAATGACAGAGATTATCACAAAAATGAACAGCTTTATAAGTATAGAGGCAGGAGTGAGAAGTGAACAGCTTACCGGTCACTCAAACATGAGACAGGCTAAGTTGCTGCCTCCTGTTTCAAGGTTTCCAGACTAACAGTGGTGCTGAGAATGAGACTCCTTGGCCAGAGTTCTGTGGGCCTGGCAGTATGTCAGCCGGTCACAGTGCGTGTGTGTTTGTCTACGCACAGTGGAAAATGAGTAGAGCGATGCAGAGGAGGGTGCGGGCAGATGGGCTCTGGTGTGTTGAGTGAAGGCAAGAGTCACCTTCGTCTGTCCTGAGAGTGTGTGTATGTGCGTGTGAGTGTCTGTGTGTGTGTGTGTGTGTGTGGGTGTGTATGCATGTAAGAATGTGTGTGCCTATGCAAAGGCACTCATAAGTGCTAATGTACTTATGTGTTAATTCACATTAATGATTATGTATGCATGTAACTGAATTTATACAAAGTAGTGTGCATAAAGATGTGCCAGGTTCTATGTTCAGGTTTTCACTTGTCTGTATGCATTGTGTGTGTTTTACAAGAAAACAAATAAAAAAACATAATAGATATGCTCTGTCCTGATATAATCTTCTCAGCTCAGCCCAGTCTAGACCAGCATGGCGCAGCAGGAGCCCTCCAGCACACATCCCCACCTGTGTGCTCCCATTACTGCATCTCAGCTGCAGCAGCACTAATGACAACCTCTAACAACCTCCTATTTCATCAAACCGAGTTTCTATCACAGCAACAAATTAGTCTCACAGACAAAGCCCTCACCTTCCACTGGCAGACAATGAACATAGACTGACGTCTTGTGTTCATGTCACGATTTTCTTGGGATATGTCTGTTGTGTCTCTTTCAGAATAATGGCAGTCATTATCTGTGAGTGTGTGTGTGTTTTCTTTGTCTCTCCACTCAATATACAGCACCACATCAATATGGGGCAATGAATAAACAACCAAATAACAATAATGATAAACAGAAAGTAACACACACAGGTGTTAATGGCTAGTGAAAAACAGCTATGTGTTTAGTTGTTGCAATAGAGTTATGGTGTTGTTTTTTTACTATTTCAGGGGAAATACATCTGGCACATCTATTTTACTGATTTTCTCTGAAAAATTGCCAAATTTGTACCCAGGAGCAGGACATTTTACTGAGAAGTTGCATTTCCTGCCACAAGAAGATGCTGACCACCATAGTTTACAGTAAACTTCCTCTTGCTTATCGGTAAGTTTTTAAAATTTAACATTTTATCCAGTCTTCACTCATTCTTTTAAGAATTTAGATATAAATGGACAAATTCCTGGATAGCTTTTGTGATAAATAATGAGCCCTAAATATACACTATCAATAATTTCTTTCCCCTTTTGCTCGGCTTTCGTAGGGAGGTCAGAGTAGACAACAGCATCCCAATAGCAATGGTCCAAAGGCAATTCAGCAGAGCAGACTCGTGCCCACACAGGGGCTTGAACCTGTGCTCTTCACCTCTCCCTACTCACCATGCAACCCTGCTCTAGCCGCCCACCTCCTCCATCAAGCACTTACCATCTCGTGACATGCCCACTGCCAGGCACTTCTGAAGCCGGCAGTGCTGGCAGCGGTTGCGGCTGGTACGGTCGATCAGGCAGTTCTTCTGACGAGGGCAGGAGTAGGCTGCATTGCTCTGCTGACTCCTCCTAAAGAAGCCCTGCACAGGAAACGTACCATGGAAACACCTCGAGTTACTGGATTAATCACTGCGGGTGGAATCATGTTCTGGGACTGAAGGATCAATTCATGTCTTTTAGTGCTAACAAAATTCATTATTGATTGACAGTGATTTGCTGTATTCCCAGTGGGGATATTTTCATTTTACTTCTGCCAAACAGATTAGGTAATAACACTACTGTGATGGTATTGTCCTGGCTGTTACGCTCTAATATCTGGCATTCAAATAGCACTGTATTTCACCAGTGTGTACAGCATGAGGGTGATGTGTTTGGGCAGGAATGATAACAGTGGATGGTATTTTTCTTCAGTGGGGTTATTAGTGTTGATTAATGCAGCACTGGCATGTGCAGTGCTAAAGTATTGCGAATGTACACTGACTGGATTCCTCATCCTTTGACTTAATGAATTGATTCCAGCACATCATTAACATGCCCCACTCTACTGCTCCATACACATATGTCTTAATTAGCTGCTCATTGGCTGTTTAATTACAAGAAAACAGCTGACAGCTGCCAAGTTCCTTTATAATGGAAGCCATTATGGAAACAGGCTATAACTGCCAGTGACAAGCAGCACTCTTTAATAATGCTATGATTTATGGTCCAAACTTTTGTACTTGCACATATCATTAAAGGCCTCTCTGCCTTGGACTAATTAGCAATCATTAAAGATAGATTTCAGCAGTTTACTCTTTAGTGTTTTGGTCCTTCCAGCTCCTGTGTGAGGGAGAGGAGCACTGGGAAGAACAGCTAAAAGGAACCTCTCTCTCCCTCTCTTTCCCTCTCTCTCTCACACACACACACACACACACACACACACACACACGCGCGCACACACACACACACACACACACAGGAGCAAACAGCAAAGGTGCAGGCTGGCTGAGGAATGCTAATGATGTGCCTGGTGACAAGCACAGGGACAAGAATCCACTCTAAGCACAAAATTCTCCTCACTGTGAATGGCTGGTGCATTTGAAACAGTACAAAAGGCGGCTTCAATGGAAGCAACACTGTAGCAAACAGCCAACAATCTGCTATAATTCAAAGCACTCTCCTTTTGATCATTTTATTTCAAGAAGAACAGGCTGCAGCAGAAGCAAAAAAAATGTGAAAAGACATGTCCCTGGGAGGGAAAGGCAGAGCAAGGCAAAGGAATGACTTTGTCCTACTAATTGTGGTTTTCTGTGATGTCCTCTGTGGTGCTTGACCACTTTAACGATCATGTTCTGTGTGTTTACACTTCGCAGTCCCTCTCCAAATCATCGTAAAACTTCAGCAACATTTTCAAACGTTTTTTCCTAGCAAGCAACTTTCTTTACGTCCTCAATTTTCCCTGTCTTTCCCCTTCTCGGCTCTCCTGTACCTCACATACACACACTACTTCCCATGACACAAACAAGTTCAGTCTCTTGACGCTTACCTTACAGCCTTCACATGTTATCACGCCGTAATGGATGCCTGATGATTTGTCTCCACAGATCTTGCAGGGAATTATTTCGATTTGAGCTGCAGAGAAGAAAAGGAAATGAAAGAAATAATAAATAATAAAAAAAATCAACATTTTGCTGTCACAAGTCACTGTACAACACCCTCACCATGGATCCATGTTGGTACATGAAAGAGCACTGTGCTTCTAAAAACATCTCATCCGGTGGCTTTTGAATCCTCACTTCCCAGAGCATTAGCTGAATATTTACCGAGCTGTGTGTGTGTGTGTGTGTGTGTGTGTGTGTGTGTGTGTGTGTGAGAAGGGAAGGAGGCCATTTTAAGTCCTCACAAGCAGCCAATGTAAACATGGTGTCAATTTGCATCCTAAACACAACTTACATAAGGAAAAACCCAGCTATCCACAAACCCTAATACGCTACAGTAGTACTAATACTAGCCTGGTGCAATGAAAGGCTCTTTTAGCCACATGAGGACACATATTCACTGGTGGAAAACTTGACTTCATGAAGCCTCTTAAACTTCAAAACCATAAAAACCTCAGGAGTACATCCACTGCGGCCACAAAGAATCATAACATGGGTTTGGCTGTGGTGTTGTGCTGTTGACAGGCCTGTGATTCACCCGCCATAAAGGACAAAAGCACAGAGAGGACAGGCCTCATCCATCGTTGGCCCTTCTCTTCAGGAGCAGACCACAGGGCAACGCAAGAGAACAGACAGAACACACAGACATCAGAGACACAGAACTCCCAGCTCGTCCTACTGCTCTCAGCTTTATCACTGCAGCCACTGATGCTGCATCCCTCTCCACCTCCACCTCCCCCCTCTGTCTTCCCCCTGTTCTCTCTTCCTCCAGTGATCTCTATCTCACAGCCCTCCTCCACATCTTCAACATCTCAGTCCCACCATCCCAACAGTGCACTGCAGCGCCAGACGAACTCCGCTATCTGATCTAAATCGAGGAAAGATCGCCGCGGGATATTTTCTCACGATGTAATGGTTTTCTCCAACCAGCCATGCAACCAACCAATCAGAGCACACTGAGCTATTGCAACACAAGTCTATACTAATTAGGAATATTATAATTTTGCCTTAATGAGATGCAATAAAAATTATAATAATTAAAAAAGTGGTGGTACATTCTATGTCAAAGTGTTACATCAGCCTCTCCCCTCTAGCCAGGCCTCACTGTCTACTATGAAGCCCCGTGCCTCCTCCCAAGACTAGAAGCTTCAAATATCCCTTGTACACCTTAACAACCAACCTCTTTAAACTTGTTTGATCACATCAAAAGTACTTTTGCTGGGGTTCAATCCAGAGATCTCTGCCCATTTTAATCATCTGCCTAGGAGCTTGTAATGTGTCATGTGGATAATGTCCTTGTCCCTGAGGCATGCCCGTGAGAGGCCCTTAACACAGAGCCTCTAATCCACTAACCCCGGAGCAACACTCCATTCATTCAGGAATCTGTGTCTGTTCTCCTCGCGCTGCTGGAGTCAACAAGACTGGCCATGTTTACATGGAATTAGCCTACATTTTAGTAAAATTAACAAAAGGAAGTGGTGGAACATGCACAATTAATTCTCCTCCAGACAACACCTCCTGTGATTTGTGATTCTCACATACAATAGAGGGCAGTGCACCTCGTCGGCCCGGATTAGAGTGAAATCCAGGCAGGAGGCGGGCTTTCCCAACCTTACTGAGAGGGTTAATTTATAATTAATCTTTTCCTTACTGTGCACAGTTGCTTGTTATTTTGGTTAGGTCTATCTCTGTATGAGTGCACTCTATTGTTTGTTTTTGTGTTCTCCCTGCATGAGCATTAGCAGTGCAGTGTGTTTCAACTCCTTTAGCATTTTCAGCCTCATTACTTACATAATTTGTTCTGACATGCACTCACAACAACTGAAGCGTGCTGTAATTATGACTAGCTGTGGTTATGGCAAACTAAAGGTTGTAGTGACAGGCCCTAGCCATTGGGTGGCAGTGCAGGGCTGTGGCCATGGTTGTCTTGCTAAGTTAAGCCAAGCTTCCACCCACCCTATCCAGCCCACAGGCTTTTGGCTCTGAGCTGCAGCCTCTGAGAGCTCCAGGCTTAGGCTGCTGCTGGCTTCCCCACCCCCACAGCATAGCTGTAAGATGCCTTCATCTCTCCTGAAGAAGCGGAGCTGGCTGGGCACTCGCTCAGGCCTGACAGAGGCTGTGCCACATCAGGTGAAAGCAGTGGGAGTAGAGACGCGGGGGTGCCAGGCTGGGCAGGGCATACATATACACAAGCATGCCTCAAAAAGCCCTATCTGCAGCAGGAAGGCCCTGAGTACACACAGCCTCACCAGCTAACACCCTCTCACTTCACCGCTGCACAAGCCCCTGGATGCTCAGTGCACTCAACAGTAAAAAGGGTTTGTCTCTGGACTGGCTGTAGTTTCTTGTATGAGAAAAGACCTCAGTCTGAACATATAGTTCTTTCCACACTGGGATAAGCAGCTTTCAAAAACATGTGGAGAGGGGGGTCAAGGAGAATAAATACAGAGCGATGACACAATGGAGATCAAATACACCATGAAGTCACCTACATCATCAGCCTAAGTCAATATTTGTATATCTCTATGACTGTGCAAGTTGTTCTTTTGAGTGACTGGTCATGGGGCCCCTAAGCTACACTTCAGACACTGAGGATGATTTGAACTGAATTCACACAGGGGAGTCAATCAAACAAAAAGGCCTGCGCTTATAAGCACTCCCAATCTGGCAGTCAATATCTATTGACATGAGCTGCGGTGTTAACTGCCTCTTGGTGTGAAACAGGCAGCTGCTGGCTCGCTTGAGCTTGACCAGCGGAGTGCCACTGATCCCATTCACTGCGCCTGCCTGCCTCCCTGCCTGCCTCCCTGCCTGCCCGTTTCCCTGCCAGCCAGCCCTGCCTGCTCTGTTTACAACATCAAAGCCAGGCACAGTTAGACGGGCAGCCATGCTAAAGCCCATCCCAGCAGCCTGCCGCTCCTCACAGCACTGTGAGATGGCCTCTGCACACAGGCCACTTCAAAGACACGTGCTGAGATGCCAAGATTATGTGTGGATCACACTGTAGCACAATCACACTACGCACCTAACCATAAGGGCCGGACAGCGGCTCAAGACTGGTTTCCTGTCTGCGGCATTGCAGCCTGTCGTGGGTGTCTCAGACAATGGGCATGGCAGAGAGAGGAGACAGTGAAGCCGAATGCTAAAGCTTGTTCTTTGTCTGTCTGTGGTTGAGCAGTTCAAGGACACTGATTCATCACACTAGCAGGCCCTTTGAGGGGATGACGTGTCACTCAGAGCACATGTACAATAGGGCAGCGAGGCCTCTGCATGTTCACCCAGTGCCCTTCACTGTCTTCTCCACAGCCCTGAGATCAACCAACTGCTAAACCTACACTACATTATCAAAGACCTGTAAACTCACAGTCAAATGTGAACACCCCGAACAATTGTTATTTTTAAGCACTGAATAGACAGATGTTGTCAGACAGGGAAACGTCCTCTGTATACAGTGTAAATGTAGTATTGCAGTACAATTAGCATGCACTGAAGACCATCTTTTTAGATAAAAACAAACATTTTATTTAGTTCCGGTAATTATTCTTAAATTTACTTTTTAGAATTATATAGTTAAAATTTTCAATGTGGCATGCTGGTAACATGCACAAAATAAAACTGAAAATATTACAGGCTTGCAAACATGGAAAATAACTAGTTAAAATCTCTTGGCTGTTCCCACTGAACCCTTGGACTACTGACATAACGTTGAAGGATTAAGATTATCCCTTACATTACAGACCCATGCCCAGGCCACCGTCATAATGCTGAGAGCTTAACTCATTACTCGATTGGACCATTAAATCATTTTCTCATGGCCTGATGATTCATGATGGATGTGCACAATAAATGAGGTCTGAAATCAAGGCTTCTATACTGTTGGGTATATGCAGATCTTCTGTTCACTGGCTCATTTACAATGCACAATCATTCCAAAAAGAAAACCACGTGGAGCAGTTGGAGGAAGAACAGATTTGCTTCTCTGTGCATAGTGGTGTGTGAGTGAGCGAGTATATAGTACGTGTGTATCGGTCATGTTGTGTTGACAGCTGTCAATGACAGAGTGACGCAAGCCAGTGGGCTCCTGTCAGAGATTATGTAAGAAACTGGACAGGGCACAGCATTATGAACAGATCAACAATTCCTCTCCCATCAGGCAAACTGTCTTAATACATTCTCCTCTTAGAATATTTTGCAATAAAAGCTTATAAGGATCACATGTCTGTTCTCTGGGCTGCACTCAGAACAGAGAATTTACACATTATCAACATACAAACACCTGGGGCACTGAACTGTCTGGCAAATGTGTACTAAGCAGTGTTCCTCCATCATTATGTGCAGCTATTCATTTTGCCACATGAACTTCCCATTTGGCGGTGGAGATCAGCTGTCGGTTGATAAACAGTCTTCTCTAAACAGATACCCACGACAGTCAGATCTAGCTGTAGAGAGACGACAGCCTAACAAGAGCTGGAATCAGAATTCTGCCTCTTTTCATCTGCCAGGGCTCTGCTGTCATGTGAAGTCGCACAACACAATACTTTTTTTATTCCCATTTATGCAGCAGAAGAAAGGTTATTTGAATGTCAGCGGCAAAGGACAGTCGTGGCACGGAACACAGGCTGAATAGTATAAATGTGTTATTTGTTTAGGGATCGGAGGTGGCTGGCATATTACCATAGAGCTGTTCTAATGGTATTTGCTGGGTTGTTGCACAAAGAAAGCACATAGCGCTCTACAGAAATTCACCTGCAGACCAAAACTCTATATCATCAGCTTCCATTCAACCTATAAACATGCTGAAGTCATCAAAAATATTCGGACCAGAGGGATTAGAGCAAGGAAAGCCATAATTGACACATTTTGATGTCTCTATGCTGCGTCTTGCTAATTCCCCCCCATTCATTTAGCTGCATAAGCTGTGATCCCCCTTCACTAGAGACCAGCTATATTTGAAGATATATTTCCGTTTCAAAA